AACAAAGTGAGGTACCCGTAACAGTCTTGTAATTTTGTACTGTGTTACGTAACATTTGCACAAAATGAAAGCGTCTGTTCAGTTGACTAGTGGTCTATTGGTTTGGATTCTTCCTCGGTTTCTACCTCAGGGATCGATTCCAATGTTGAGCGGTGTCAGAAAGCTCAGAAAGTACCATAAATGATTTCACGGAGAAATCTCAATGATGATATCCTCATCGTTTTTGCATTGTCTTGAGATGTAGCAAAGCGTTCTGTTCGTTTCATTTTACTTCGTTTTATTGAATATATAAAGATGCGATTTTCCAGAAGAGGAAGCGGCCAATCGAAGGTCTACCATGCAACGCACAATTAGAAAAGTCAGTTGATGCTGATGAGGTTATCAAAACTAGGTGAAAATACAGATCCGTGAATAGGAGTCAGATGTGATTCCATTCATCATCCACCGTCCCAAAAATAAAGTTATTTCCAAATGTTATTTATCACATTGAAAGATGTGAACCTACAGTCATTTTCAAAGTTTTGCTTAGATCCAAGTAATCAGGATGAAAGGAATCCATATGCCATCGTTTCTATTACTACTTCTAAAACATTTTTATTTGTCAACGTTTCTCCGGTCCGTTTATCAGCCTGAGCACTGGCCCCATTGATTCATCTGTCACCGGTTCCGAACCCCTGTGCACTTCCCATTCCAGGTAGCGGCACGTGATAAACAATTCTTCTCTCGACAATCCAGCAACACGAGTAAATCCTCGTTCCTGTCGTCCACGTCCACCTATGTAAGCATTACCCCGATCACACCGGCACGCAAAAGTGTGGCCGGTTGCCCCGTCAATCCGGTTCCATTGCTTCGTGTTTTGGAGAGTAGCAATCAAGATCTGAGCACATGCGAACCTCAACCCGGTGCGAATAATAATGATAATAATGACAGTTCATCCCCGGAGCCGATCAAGGCGAGTCAGACTCATTTGTTAGTCGTACCCGATCTGGATTGTATGGAAAAACCGAGAAAACAATTCGGTTTGGATGTGCCCAAATCCGGTCTAGCTCAACGTCGTTGCAGTACACCACTTCTCTCATTGAACAATGGCGGGGCCAAATCGTTCGACCCTATTCCTATGCGAGAGCCGGATCTGCGTAAGCAATCGTTCGCAACACCACAAATGCGTAGGAAAAGTAGTAACGATGTGTTTGCTTCACTGTTTCACGGACGCACGTCAGAACCCTCGGCTCCGGGAAGAGCGGGTGAAGAACCATTGCTTCTCCAGATGCTTCGTCGACAACATCATCGCACATTACGTATTCTCATCATATTACTGTTGGTGTTTGTTGTGTGTCGCGCTCCGCGTGCAATTATTCTCATGATCGGTTGGCTTCAATCCCATTGTTTGTGCGTATCACCGACTCAGGCCTATGCCTGGTTACACTATGCCAGTTTATGGTCCCATACAAGTGCGGTGTTTGATACCATTGTGTATGGTTTCTGGGGTAATCGGACATATCGTACACGGCTTCGTCATTGGTATTCTAAATGTATCACCTGCACAAAACACGAATAATAGATTGGAATTTGAGAAATTCCATGACTTATACACACACACACA